TATTGTCTGTCACTGTTAAAATAAACCTACCATTACAATTATAGACTGATCATTTCTTTGTCAGTGGGCAAACGTACAAAATCAGCAGGGGATCAAATACTTTTTTTCCCTCACTGTACGTGGTGATCAGCAACACAGCAACTCCATTGTTATACAAAATTGTACTGTAGTTCCATGCTCCTCGCCCTCACTAACCGGCACTGATCAGTGCGGTTGAAGTTTCGTCAAATAACTCCCATGACCCAAAGGGTGTGGGGAAGCCCTCATTGAGCAGTGGATTCACAAACAGGAATGTAGGTGTGCTCTCGTAATGGTTTCAATGTTTAATTGAACAAATTTAGTTAAAACACAATTTACAACCTAGGATATGTTTTTGTTACATCACAAATATCTGCATTGTTACTGACAGTTCTGCATTGTTTATAACAGTATTGAGGTGGGAAGGGGGGGGGGGGCATTTTGTTCTTGAACAAAAATGAATGGTTCAGTGTTATTGTAACCATTTTGATTTGGCGTCGGTTATGTATGAGATGTTGCCATCTCAGTTTGTTGTGTACATTTGTGGCTTCATGTGGATAAAAACAAATCACAATAGTTTTGTACACACATGCGGCTTTGCCCTTCCCTTTCAAAGCAGCAGAACTGACAAATTTAACAACCTCAGGGAAACTTTCCCCTAAGAATGTAATAAACTACCACTGTGCATCTCCGTTATCTCTCCATCACAGCGCACTGCATAATAAGGCATACTGAAGTAATAACCTGCAGAAAAATAATTACAAGCTCCCAGCTGTTTGTAATACGTACTCTGTTCCAAACGGTATTTTATATTCAGACATACATATATAAATCTGAGATATATATTGTAAATATGTTACAATGAATAAAAACTCACTGCCGTATCACAGCTGATGCCAATTATTCTTATGAGCGTGAGAACAAACTAAGCTCGAGTCTGCCGAGCGATTTTATTCGGAACGTTATATATGCAGCACTTAACAAATAACACAATATTGCTCATAATATACATTTCTCTCCTGAGATTTCACTTGCTTTGAATTATGCAATTAATATCAACAGAAGCTTCAACGTAAATTCCTCCCCTGGGAAGGAAGGTCATCGGCTGGCAGCATGCAATGTTCAGCCTGTTTTATCATCACTGCAATATTTTCCCTTCCAATTTAGCTTTCATTTCGAGCCTTATAAGCAGGATTTACTGGAAATCCCCAAGTGTATTGATGTGTGTTTGCTGTTATCTGTCATAATGAGTGATTTAATAGTACTTGCACGGTAATGACATAATGCAGGTATACTGTTATTTATGCGATTGACAGATTAAAAATATATTTTGCTCCAACACACCTCATTAATGTTTGATTCTTATTTCATCTTAATATTCTAGTAGCGGCGTATTGGTGTTTATTCATCTCGTAACCTTTGTCCTCCTTCACGGTTCGATACATCTTCTGAATTCAGGATTCGATTTGATATTTAATTAGGTATTGGCAATTGTGGTTAATTTGTCAGTAGTCAGAAGTTTATTTCCAGCCCGTTTAGCTACACAGCTCTTTATCAATAGCAACTCAGCCAGTAGACAACAGTAGCAGCAAAGTTTTATGACACATTACAAATTATACACGTGCTTTATATATCTATATATATATCGTTAATTACAACATAATCTTAAAACTAAGTTTTTCGGCAACTATCTACATTCACAGGATTGCTTTAAAAGCGTATCTGGTGGCTGCATGCTTTACAGAACCAACCGAATACAACATATACAAATAGAAAAAAACCTAGATTTAAAGCTTTCGTGACTGCAAGGATCCATACTCTTTGGTTCTATTGGGTAAAGTCACGTAGGTAATTAATAAAATAACAAAAATCAGCGCTGTCCTCCAGACAGTCTCGTCCCTTCACCTGATGAAGGCCGCTTGTGTTGTGGCCGAAACGTCGTGATTTTTGTTATTTTATTTTTTACCTACGTGACTTTACCCAATAGAACCAAAGAGTATAGAAAAAAATCATCATTCTTCTGTGCACAGTTCAATACATGCGTCGTGAACATAGCCACTGATCGATGCATTGATGCAAGCATCGTGCTCATGGAGAGCAATTCGTTGGCCGAATTTAAAAGTAAAATGTTAAAATACACCAATAAAAAGTGTCGTACCAAAATGTTCTGGTCAGGAAACATAATTAAGGAGATATAAAAAAAATGAATAAGAAATTAAGGAAGGAAATGGCGTTTCTCCGTGTGGATCATCACGCTTGTGCTGGACAGCTCTCCGATTGTGCTTTATCTTGCCAAACAACACACGGTACAACCTGAATCGAAACGTCGTATTCTATAATTTAATTTATTTTATTTCTACGTTACTTTACCGAAAGAACCATAGAGTAAGTCATCTAACACTTAGATATTAATTGATGTCATCCTTCCATGTCTGCAGTGGTCTTCCTCTTTGAGTTTAGTCTGTTGTCCTTCCCCCGCACCTCCGATTAGCACAGTTTGCTACGTACGGTGCAAAATAAGTTCAAGATACTTACATACATTGGGCATATTCCTTCCTTGGCCTGCAACAATTACCCATAACAATGTTGGTTCTGTTGCATTCCCTACAAAGGATTATGCCACCGCTGCTCCTGCTGTCACTGAGAAAAACAACAGGGGACAGTATAAAAGGTGACAGCAGTTCTAGTGTAAACTATGCCCTCTGCTCCTATGCAGAAAGTCCCTAAGAAGTGTGGATAATACAATATTTCAATCCCATTTCCCATCTATTGTTCAGCTACTCCATTGTGCAATTGAACTTGGTGTGGCAGTGAAATGCATTGATGTTATCAGAGCTGAACTCCCATTTCTTCTTCCTGCATGATGTTAACTACCTCGCCTGGTGGGTTCCATTTCCGACCCTGATGCCTGTATATTTGTAGTTTGCATGTTCTTCACGTGGTCACGTGGATTTTTCTCCGGGTCCTTATTTTTCCCTCCACATTTAGAAACATGCGTTTCGTGTATTCGGCTGCAATAAAATTGCACGTAGATAAACCACCTCGTTGGGCTATCATTTGTGGCCAGGTCCCTTTTGAAAAAGAGCTGTACAGCTCAATGGGCCTTACCTGGTAAAGTTAAATGAGTAAATGGTAGTAATAGTCTATATGGATCTAAAGCTTTACCAATCAGTGAAACCTCGTTTCACATTGGTCCTTTCTCAGAATAATTAACAAACCCAGTCCATTTGAAAAGCATTATTCAAGTCAGCATTATCATTTTAAGTTTTTGATTATTTGGCTGCTATACATTTCCACATAATAAGCCACTTCGTTGAGCTATCATTTGTGAGCAGATAGCTTCTGAAAAAGAGCTATATATACTTATAAATGGGCTATATCTGGTTAAATAAATAAATACGTTTCCGTTTGTTATGCCAAGGGAGATGTGAAGTGCATAGAAGGTTTGTATTTTTACGTACGACATTCTATTTATTCATGTTGTGGGTTTTTTGTGAACAAAACAACGCGTTCCAAAATGCCTTTAAAAGTGGAGCTATGCAACTGCTTTTCTGAAATCTGCATTTGCCAAAGTGCTCCATTCTTGTCCGCATACACCTCCAATGCCAAACTGAATAATGATGAGATACATCACAACTGTTTATGTTTTGGCAGTTATACGGCATATGTTTCTGATGTGGTATAGCTCAAAAACACATCAGAAAGCTATATTAACATGCATTAGGCCTGCAAATGCACCCAAACTAATATCTCAACCTTTAACTTTTTGTGCACAACCTAACCAATTATGATGCTGTGAATGACCTGCAACCGTTTCAAGTAGTACATTGTCTATTTAAGAGTTGAGAAGTCAAAAGTCGCCCTTCTATAAGAGACTTACCTTGAATTTGCAGGCGGCGCTCCTCATGAAATGTTTGGTTTTGACAGCGGTCGTACATTTGGAAAGCATGCCTGTATTGCTTTTATTTCCTGTGTTCTCACTGCCCTATTACACCACCGTGCCCCGAACACAGTGGTGTAGCTAAAGAGTGTTGTGCTGCACTGGCATCCACGGGCTCAAGGAGCCAAGGTGCCAGGCTATGAAGAGGGTGGCCTAAAATTACAACTCTGTGGTTGAACTCTGACCTGCCTGCCTGCTAAATCTACGGTCATAGAAGCAAGGACGAGTGAGGCCATGGGGGCGAGATCTTTTCATGAGAAGCAGCTGCATTTCCTGTTGCTCCCAAATAAATACATGAGTGAAAATGAGTACACTTTTCCTCTTCTTGGTTCTTTCGGTAAAGTCACGTCGAAGGGAAACAATAAAATAAAAAAAATATAAAACAAAATTCTCACGACGTTTCGACTGCAACACAAGCAATCATCATCAGGTGTGAAAACCACAGCAAGAGAATTTGAAAAAAGTGCGGTCAGACCGCATCCATTAATTTTCGTCTCCCCCCTCCTCTTTTCCGAACATAGATGGACTCGTCCATCTGAACAAACTGTCAAATTGCTCTCCGTGGTGCTAACGTTAAAAAAAACCGCCACTTTTTTCAAAATTTCTTGCTGTGGTATTCACACCTGATGATGATTGCTTGTGTTGCAGTCGAAACGTCGTGATAATTTTTATTGTTTTATATTTTTTTATTATTTTATTGTCACGAAAGCTTTAAATAAAAAATTCACACTTTTCCTCATTAACACTTAATTGTGCCAGATGATTGGCAAACCTACAAGCATAGAGAGGAGCGCCAGATGAGAGAATCACGATCTAAGCACAACTGCCATGACCACTTTTCCACTCATTACTTTGCAGATCGCCTGAATTACTGTCCAGCTATCGCGTATGAATGCCGTGTGACTGCACAGCGGTCCACAGCACAGAGGGGTCCAGGTGCCGGGCTAGAAAGATGGATTAATAAGGTTTTACTCATTGCACGGGGGAACGTGCCAACGACGCTCAGCAACTGCCCCCACGCTTGCTGTTGATTTGTCTACAGAGCACACGTGCGAGAAGGATCGAATGTCGTTTACATTCTGCCGGCGTCTCAAGCTGCTGGGCCGATGTCAAGTGGCAACCGTGAGGCTCCAGTGCTGCCTCATGTGTCACCGAGACGTTCAACGCAGCCGCCCGAGGGGCAACGAACACGTCTCCAAATAACGACCAAGGCGGCATCTGTCAAAACCTGTGCTGTCCATTTTAGTTTCCTCCAGTCCGGCGAGGCTGATCAAGGGTCACATTAACACCACCGTTCGTTCCCTTGGCCCTGTCGAAATGGCTGTGGATGAGTGATGAACAACTCAAGGACGCCGACAGCAGTAAAGGGTAAAATAAGTCCGTTCATATTCTTAGTTTTTTCGGTAAAGTCACGTTGAAGAGAAACAACAAAATAATTAAAAAAAATGCGCCGTTTAAAAATAAATTTATGCAAACCAACACACCTGAAGATGACCGTTTGAGTTATGGTCGAAACGTCGTGAGAATGTTTTATTGTTTTATATATATTATTATTTTGTTGTTTCTCTTCAACGTGACTTTACCGAAAAAACTAAGAATATGAATTACTGCAGTCACGAAAGCTTTAAATCAAAAGTCCGTTCATGTTCTGTTTACTGGTTGGAAACCGTGTTCAGAGTGGTGCCCGCGTTCTGCTACGTGTGTACGTATGTTGAACTTCTTTTGCGCCGTAAGCCAACCGTGCTAATCGGAGGTGCTACAAGCATGCAGTGTCTCATATGCAATTTAGAAAATATTTGACAAATAGGACAAGCCATGGAGGGCTGTTGTAGCCATGTTCTTGGACCATGTGATTTAGTAATCTTTTTGTCCTTCATGTACTATATGCTATCCAGCGGTCCTTAAAGACTGTAATACATTTCAAGTACTTGGAAATGTTTGTACGTCACATTATTAATATGTTTATATCGCTTTTTACTGTAACCACTACAATTCAAGATGAAATGTGCTCCCATATTCAAAAAGCTTACGTGCACTCAAATGTTTGGTTCCAGGTTGTTGCTTTTGTTTCAGTGGTACTGAATGAATAAACACGTGGTGCTATGAAAATTAATTGGTGTGAAATCCCTGTGGTTCAAAGGGTAATAACCATATTCTTGGTTCTTTCAGCAAAGTCACGTTGAAGGGAAACAATAAAATAATAAAATATATATAAAACAATAAAATTCTCACGACGTTTCGACTGCAACACAAGCAATCACCAGGTGTGAAAACCAACGGCAAGAACATTTGAAAGAACATTTGAAAGAAATGTTCTTGCAGTTGGTTTTCACACCTGATGATGACTGCTTGTGTTGCAGTCGAAACGTCGTGAGAATTTTATTGTTTTATATATTTTATTAATTTATTGTTTCCCTTCAACGTGACTTTACCTAAAGAACCAAGAATTTGAAGTTCATTGTCACTGATTTTAATCGGTAATGATTTGTGCCTTGAATTTCCTTGTGGTGCTCTGCTTTGGACTTCGTATGGATTTATTTTCAAAAAGTGTCATATTTCCACTGAATGTTGGCAAAAGAAAGATTTAATAAAGAAAATCAAAGACCATCCAATCACGTTCATTTAATCATTTGATGAAAATGCTTTTCAGAACTCCGCCAAAGTGAAAATTATCTTTACTCAGCAGAAGGGAACATTCACCCCAAGAAGCAAATAAAATGTGAACGGTAAATGTGCAGCCCTCCAATTTCTTCTTGCCACTGCTGGCATAAAGGTCTCCAGTAAGGGGTATTTTGGCCTACTCTTTCACGCTGTCCAGACGTCTTAGAAGAGGCGAACGTACCTACACTTTACCCCACCAACGCGACCTCACGATCAATTGCAGTATACCGATTTATACTGTTGGGTGGACAGAGGCAAGTGGACTTTGAAAAGTTCTCAGTCTTTCCACTGCAATTCAGGGAGATTGAACCGATGACCTCTGGATTGCAATTCCAGTGTGCTAACCCCTATATAATGACAGAAATCCATCAAACATTGTCATTTATAACACAAGGGGTGGAGTGGGTATCAAAGTGATTATCACATCTTGACTTAAAGCTTTCGTGACTGCAGGAATTCATCTCTTTGGGTCTTTGGGTAAAGTCACGTAGATAGAAAAATAATACATGTATTGCGATCGATACGTCGTGATATATTTATTATCCATCTACGTGACTTTACCGAAAGATCCAAAGAGTATGATTATCACATTTCACTAAGAACCCGGTGACCGGAGTGATTTTTGGCCACAACAAACATCAGTGGTGAGTGATAAATGAACTCTGTACAGTTCTGGGTCCTACCACCCCACTTCAACCCACTGACTAACATGGGGAAATATGGTCAAATAACTCGTGACCGACATGGCATTGGGAAGGCTTTAATCCAGCAGTGTATTGACAAACAGCTGCAAATTATAAATACAACTTTATTTATACGTCTATGACACCATAGCAGCAAACAAATGTCAGTTTTTTTTTATATAGGCCATGTTCTGCAACCTTAAAGATGTTTAAAAAAAAACACATTTCCTGAAGAAGTGCATTCTGGTCCTTTTGTGTAAGGTCACCATCAAAATACATAAATAATATAGGTTTTTGGGGGGGTTAGATCTCGTAAATATATAAATGTGTCGTTAAACCCGCCACCACCCGGCAGAGCCAATTAGTAAGGTTTGTCCCGTAAACATAACGTGGCCAATTCGTTACAAGTACAGCACACCGGTGTGTTGGAGAGCAAAGCCACAACATTTACAATCGGAGTACGACGTTTCGCCAGTAATTGCAACTAGCGTCATCAGGCGCTCTCCAACACAGGTGTGCTGTACTAGAAACGAATTGGCATGTTCTGTTGACGTGACAAACCTTACTAGTTGGCTGTCGGGTGGTGGCAGGTTTAACGACATTTATATATACGCGATTTAACCCAAACAAAACCCTACATTATGAATATTGGTCGCGAAAGCCTACAGTGTTAAAATACATACATTTTAACAATTGTGACCAGGACTGATGCTGCGACCGAATACAAGATGAACCACAATGCACTTTCAAACTAAACTAAAACTTACCAGGTAAGGCCCACTGAGCTGTATAACTCTTTATCAGAAGCGACCTGGCCACAGATGATAGCTCAGCGAAGTGCCTTATCATTTGAACATTTATAACTGCCAAATACTCTAAACGCATGTTTCTAAATGTTAAGGTGAAAGCCCCTTAGGACAAAAATCCACAAGACCACGGAGAGAATATGCAAACTCCAAATATACAGGCGCCAGGGTCGGGAGCGAACCCACGATCTCCTGTAATCAGGCGAGGTAGTTAACATCTCGGCACCGTGGTACCCAGGGAACAAAGGGTGTGTGCTTTCAGGTGTTTGCATAAGGCACTGAGGCTGAGTGCTTTATGTACAAAAATCTGCGTGTTGTTTGAAACTCTTGGGGTTTCCTGCCTGCGAATGTATCCATCATGATGGGGGGTTTTATCCCTAGAAATGAAAAGATTTGATTCTGCACACGCTAGTATATTTAACTTGATTTCACATTGTGAAATTATATATATGCACGTGTTTTCCAATTAGGTTATGTGCCAATTTCAATAATGTAGTGCAAATAAGACTCAGCTTATGAAAGAATTTAATAAACCAACCAACCGTGCAAGGTTGATGCAAGGTCGTGTAAATTTGTAAAAATTGCTAATCCTTTTCATTACATGTATCACTTCGACAGTGAATTGTAATTATACTTAAAGTTGATTAAAAAAGCTATAATTTGAGCAAAGATGAATATGATTGTCATTAATACAGCTACAGCCACACACGTATTATATAATGACTCCCGCATTGTGAACACATAATTGGCACTTTCCTCATAGTTTTCAGGGTTTTTTTCAAGTTCTGCAAATGTATTTCTATCACACAGTGTCCATTCAAATCAATAACACGCTTCATCACGGCAACCTCTCTATCCCTGCAGGCAATGACGTTTTTATTTCGTTCCACATTGTGACGACGACGACGACACCAAGACCAGTGAGGCTGTTGCACCATTTCTCAAGAGCAGGCTCGCTGAGTTGTGTTTTCCACACTTGCACCTTCATGAGCCACATAAAACGCCATTTTCTCAATTAACCAGCCGGCAAATTCTAATATCTCCACGAGCCCTACTTTCATTTACCCATGTCACTTGCTCGTACCGTAATTGTCAAAATGTGAAATGATCTGCTAGTATCATGCACATGCACGCTCTGGGTGTGATCATGAATCATAATTAAATGAGCGCACAACATGGGCTAGCAGAGGTGAGGTTTTTTTTTCACAACCAAAAGCATTACTCTTTGGTTGGTGGTGATTACCAGCCCAACATAACCTTACAAATCCAGACGTATTCCATTGTCATTTTTGACTCCAGACACACACGAACACTGGAGAATGGTCAGATTACTCGGATAGCCGCAGATATATTTCATTTCAGTACTTTACCGCTAAGACGGTGCCGTCTTAAAGAAATACACGTAGCAGTTTTGGAAAAAACAAGACAATGATGGCATTTCTGTTATCTCTGGAAACAAACAAAAATATATTGGTTGTATACGTTATTCCAATGTATTTAAAGTTAGAATACAGTATTAGCAAATTTTATTTTAGATTAGACTGTTTTTAACTGAGCATCTCATTTAAGAAATGTACGTATTAAATTACTTTTTACGGGTTAAAAGTGATTAAAAAGTAATATAATTTCTGAGGAAGCGATGATAATAATATATACTGTAAATATAACCTTTATTTAGAATCTACTAAAAAAAGTTCAGTAAAAAAAAACGACTTCCACAACTTTATATAGTTACAATGAGCAGTCGAAACTCGAGAAGTTTGCGTGCGGTTGTGGTTCATAGTAAAATATGTGGTGAAATGCATGTCAAGAATTACGGGAAGCAGGAATAAAAGTGGCCACTCTGCTGTGTTGATTTGAAAGGCTCCAGTGCAGAGATGAAATGGTGGAGGAGGCGTCAAATTAAACATACCCATTGTGTTATGTTGATCAAACAGTTTAGAACTATACGGTGACTGAGTAATCAGCCTCATGGGTGAGATCTTCTTTGTAAGGCCAAATGAAGATCAACTGTCAAGAGATCTACTTCCAAATGATTTAGCCATTAAATTGCTTTGTCTGAGAGTTTGGTGAATTGCAGCTTCAACCGCCGCCTTCAAGATCTTATTTGTGGCAGCGCAAAGTCACATCGTCCATGGTCTGGCGTTGGTAGCCACAATCGCTTTTATTTCCCACTTGTGCATTGGGAATCTGCATGGGTTAGATGCCTACAGAGTAGGCGTCCACCTGAGTGAAGGAAACGCCAGGTATATTATTCGGAAGAGAGGGGAGAGAGACTGGACCCTGTGTGCAATAACGACATGAAACGCATAAGTGTAAAGACAGCACGGAGTGATAGAGGGACAGTGTGGTTCCCC